GATAGAGCGCGCGCGTGGGGCCCGATAGACTAAACGGGGGCCCCCAGCTTGAAGCTACCCCCCTCCCCCCTTCCTTGCTAAAGGGGGGGGGGCTTCGGAAGCCCCCCCCCCTCCCCCCCTTTTCGTGGTTCGGAAAGGGGGGGGGGGCTTCCAAGCTACCCCCCCCTCCCTCCCTCTAGTTGAGCCGGGGTGAGCCACCCCCCCCCCTTTGAAAGGGCGGGGGCTTCGGAAGCTACCCCCCCCCCCTCCCTTTTCCTGGCCGGAAAGGGGGGAGGGGGCTTCCAAGCTACCCCCCCCCCTCCCTCCTTTTAATGGAGCTGGGGTGAGCCACACCCCCGCTTTGAAAGGGGGGGGCTTTGGAAGCCCCCCCCCCTCCCTCCCTTGGTGCAAAAGGGGGGGCTTGAAGCCCCCCCCTCCCTTCCCCCCTTTGGCCGCCCAGCTCCCGGAGCCATCGCCCTCCCTTTCGCCTCCATTTATTCCCGCCCCTCTCCCTCCTCCTCTTCTTCCTTTTGCCTCCTCCTCTTCCTCGTCCTCCTCATCCTCCTCATAGTCATCATCGTCATCATCATCATCATCATCATCATCATCATCATCATCATCGTACTCCCCCGCGGGTCCTTCCGTTCCGTTCCTCCTCCTCCTCCTCCTCCTCCTCGGTTTTCTTCTCCTCCTCCTCCATTTTTCCCTTCTCCTCATCATCATCTTCCTTCTCTTCCTCGTCCTCCTCCTCCTCCTCCTCCTCGTTATCCTCCTCCGTTTCCCCCCCCTACCTCTCCTCCTCCTCCTCCTCCTCTTCTCCCTCCTCCTCCTCCACTCCTTCCTCTTCCTCCTCCTCCTCCTCCTCTCCTCCTCCTCCTCCTCCTCCTCCTCCCCTCCTCTCCTCCTCCTCCTCTTCCTCCTCCTCCGCCTCCTCCTCCTCCTCCTCCTCCTCCCTCCTCCTCCTCCTCCTCCTCCTCCGTTCCCCCTCCTCCTCCTCCTCCATCCTCTCCTCCTCCTCCTCCTCCTCCTCCTCCTCCTCCTCTGTTCTCCTTCGTCTCCTCCCCCCCCCTTCCCTCCTCATTCTTCGCCTCCTTCTCCTCCTGCTCCGCCCTCCTACCTCCTCCTCCTCCTCCTTCTCCCCCTCCTCCTCCTCCCCCTCCGCCTCCCCCATCCTCCGCCTCCTCCTCCCCCAGCTGGCCGCCGTCTTACACGAACACTGCCAAACCCGACGGGCTGGCGTTATCCGAATTACACGTCGTGCAAGTTTTTTGAGGGGGGAATTAGTATTTTTCCCAACTCTCCTTGGTTGGGTATTCGTTTTGAATAGAGCAGTGTGGCCTCCACTTCCTCCTTCCCGTCCCGTCTCCCTCTTGCCTCCTCCTGTCTTGCCTGCGGGGGGCTGCGATCTGTGAAACTGTCGCCACTTTCGAGGCCTGCTGGGGGGGCCCAGCACAGTGACGCCACGGGCGGACCCAAATTAGACCTCGCCATCCCTGGGGGGCTGCGATCTGTGAAACTGTCGCCACTTTCGAGGCCTGCTGGGGGGCCCAGCACAGTGACGCCACGCGGCAGATCCAAATTAGACCTCGCCATCCCTGGGGGGCTGCGATCTGTGAAACTGTCGCCACTTTCGAGGCCTGCTGGGGGGCCCAGCACAGTGACGCACGGCGGATTCAAATTAGACCTCGCCATCCCTGGGGGGCTGCGATCTGTGAAACTGTCGCCACTTTCGAGGCCTGCTGGGGGGCCCAGCACAGTGACGCCACACGCGGACCCAAATTAGACCTCGCCATCCCTGGGGGGCTGCGATCTGTGAAACTGTCGCCACTTTCGAGGCCTGCTGGGGGGCCTAGCACAGTGACGCCCCGGGCGGACCCGAATTAGACCTCGCCATCCATGGGGGGCTGCGATCTGTGAAACTGTCGCCACGTTCGAGGCCTGCTGGGGGGCCCAGCACAGTGACGCCACGCGCGGACCCAAATTAGACCTCGCCATCCCTGGGGGGCTGCGATCTGTGAAACTGTCGCCACTTTCGAGGCCTGCTGGGGGTCCCAGCGCAGTGACGCCACGCGCGGACCCAAATTCGACCTCGCCATCCCTGGGGGGCTGCGATCTGTGAAACTGTCGCCACTTTCGAGGCCTGCTGGGGGGCCCAGCGCAGTGACGCCACGCGCGGACCCAAATTAGACCTCGCCATCCCTGGGGGGCTGCGATCTGAGATCCCCGCTTTCGAAGTGGCTAGGGTTGCTCAGGGATTGCAACTCATCAGCTTTATCTAGTCCTTGTCCTGAAGCCAGTTTCCTGCGAGTCTCCCGAATTCCGTTTGCAGACATATGTAACCCTCGCTCCGTCATCGCCCCCCTTATAAAGTGTCCTAAACTATTTGCGCCCCGCGTTTGCGCAGGGGTTGGGTACGTCGCCAGGGTAATGTTTCGTTCCCGGGCGTTGGCACGGGACGAGTTGAATGATACACTTGCGTTGCAATCGATTGCAATCCATTGGATTGCAAACGATTCGATTGCAATCCATTGGATTGCAATCGATTGGATTGCAATCGGTTGAATTGCAATCGATTCAATCGATTGGATTGCAGGGGAGGGACAGGACGGAAGGGAGGGAGGGGAGGAGAGGGAGGGGAGGGAGGAGATGGAACGAAGGGTGGGAGGGAGGGGAGGGAGCGGAGGGAGGTGGGGAGGGGGATTGCAGTGGAATGGAGTGCAATCGATTGCAAGCGATTCGATTGGGATTTTCGATCGTCGATCGTTGATCGTCGATCGTCCATCCTCGATCGTGGATTGTTCATTTTGGATCGTCGGCGAAAGGGAGGGCGGAGGCTCCGGGGGCTGGGCGGCCAAAGGGGGGAAGGGGGGGGGGGCTTCCAAGCCCCCCCCCCCTTT